CCCAGAAAAGCCCCCACAGATGCTGGGGAAGCTTCAGAGAAACTTTTAGGCATCACCGACTGGGGCACTATGAACACAGCCCTGAAAAGCTGGCACAGGTGCAAGCCCCCGCTGCACCTTCACCCAACTGCACCCCACAGCAGCAATGGCTGGGCTGGGGAATGGCAGCCCCCCACACAACCCCACATGCAGCCCCCTGCTCCCCGGCGGGAGGCTGCAGTCTACTACAGCGGAGTGTGAGCAGAAGCAGAGCCACACTTTTGGCTGGGGTGATGAGCACCCAAAGGGTGCACGAGCACCCAAAGAGCAGCACTGGCACCCAGGTGACCCCATCTGCTCCCCATATGCAGCCCTACAGCCTGCGTAATGCAGACAACGAGCTCTGGGTTGAACAAGGCAGCTGGCCAAGGCTCGATGTGACAGATGAGCCCTGGGGATGCTGGGGCACGTTGTGCATCCCGTGGCACCATGCTACAGCTTTGTGTGGAAGCAGCTGCTGACGCATATGTGCAAAACTTCCTTTCTTTCTTCTCATGCACTTCATGACCTGTGACAGAGCTCCCTGCAACACCCAGGATTGCTGTGCATTTGGGCAGCATTGCAATATCCCCAGTAAAGAATCAAGCTGGGCTGCTTGTCTCCCCATCAGCCCCCCCGTGCACTGACCCCTACACACACATACAGTTTCCAGGCCATGAGAAGATTTAAAATAAAGGCGATGCAAAGGTAAACCTGAAAAGGGGTATCCTACATTGCGAGGGAAGCGGTGGTATCATGAGTATGGCTCAAGGGGAAACTCCTGAAACGGGGTGCCTGGACCAGGAGAGGTGGAGGCCAGGCTGACCCTCCTGCCAAGAACTTTCTGCAGGATGTTCCATTCTTGCAGCTTCACCTGGATTCCTCTCCAGCATGAAGACAAACATTATACATCAGCGCAGATGTTTGTTTGAGAAGTCAGCTCCAAATAAATATCTCAGGCTTACTGTTCAGGCTCGATGTACAAGAGTCATAAAGGCTTTTTATAAAACCATCGGGGTTTTTTTATTTCAGTACAGGGACAAGGAGCTGGGGCAACATGTGGGACTGGCACTGGGCCAGCCACAGCCCACGGAGGAACAGTTGGGTCAGCCACATGGCTGCAGGGTGCAGCACCAACCTTTTGCAACAGCAGGCAGGCACTGATTTCCATACAGCCCAGGGATGACAGAACCCAGGGCCTTGAGGCAGGAATGGAAATCTCTCCATTCACTCCTTGCTCTCATTGCACTAGTAGCACACAGGAGAAAAAAAAGCTTTTAGAAACACAAATTTTACTCGTGCTGCGTCCCTTTCTAAATGCTCATCCCCTTGAAATTTCTCCTACCGCATTCTTGTTTAAACTAACCCATTATGGCTCACTGGTAACTGAGGTGACTGTTCTGAACATAAACCTTAATTACCGGTGTCTAACTCCACAGAGGCTGTGGGGAGAGAAGAACAAAGGACAAAACAAAAATGGAATTCTTCGGTCTGCTCTGTAGCATGAACCAGCCCATGGTCAAAGACTGAGTGTGGCTGACTCCCGGGAGAAAGGAGCATGACACAGATTTATCATTAATCTTCACACCCCAAACTGTAATTAAAGCACCTGCCCAGAAATTAATAGACACAAAACCTGATTTACAAGCAAAGGAGATTAAAAGATAAAGGCGGTTTCCACTCCCATTACTTGCATTACAGTACAGTGCATACAGCACTGTTCATGGCTCACCAAGAAAGCTGTACCCCAAGTCCCACTAACAGCTGTGATCAGCATGCGGGGCCAGCCGGCTCCATCCACATACCAAGGAACCTACGTGCATTTGCAAAGAAAAGCTTTTGGAGTTTCAGTTTAGATTTTGAGATCAAAGCTCTGTCCCATGTAGCAACTTTGGCAGTCCCTGCAGAGCAGGAATGGTGATCTTCCTGTGCTGACACTTTGTCCCAGCAGCTTTTCTGGATTTTGGGGACATATCTCATCATTGGTGGGAGTAGACCCCTCACTGGGGGATGCAGAGTGGCTCCCACAGGCTGCGGTCCTGGCACAGAGTATGTTTGGCAGTGGGGCTCTTGGAGTTGCGGGACTGCCATGCATGCAGTGCACTCCGGCATTGCACTGCTGCAAAAAACAGGGCCAGCACAAAGGGATGGGGTAAGGCTAGAGCCTTACCAGGCTGAAGGATGAGGAGTACTCAAGACAAAGATTTCAGCTGGACCACAGTCATTGGCTTAGCACTGGTTTGCTCTGGGCAGAGGAGAACGTGAGTGTTACTTGAAGGTTTGCCTGTGCTGAAGAGATTATCATGAGAGCACTGAGCTTAACCCTGGGGACACAGTGCCAAAGAGGCTGGGGAAAAGGGACAGAGCCTCTGGTCTCTGCGACAGGCTGGAACTGGAGCCAAGGGACAAGCAGCAGAGAGGAGAAAGCAAGGCATCAGTCTACAGAGGAAGTAGAAAGCAAAAAGGCAGAGACAGACAGGAACATGGCTGCAATCTCCAGCTCATGGGCTGCACTCAGCCCCAAACACACGGCTTGTCCCACGCAAACCACAGCACTGCATAGCAGCCATTACACCCCTCCGTTCGATCCACAAGAGTGGGTCCATCTCAGAGGCAAGAAGCAAAACCTGACAGAGTTTGTGGTGATGGGTTCCTGCTCCTCTCGAAAACCCAGCCAGACTGGCATTATTCCCACAGGCTCAGCCAGCTCTCAGTCACAAAAACAGCAGTTTCCACCCCTTCCCCTTCACCTGAGAAGAGGAAAGTGCTTCTCCGACACTGCCCCAACCTGCTCAGCTGGGGTCCCATCCTCATTCCCATGGGTTCCAGCCTCGGTCCCACCAGCATCCTCTAGGGAGCGTGGGGGTCACATCCAAACCAGACTAGGGGCTCCAGAATTTCCCCCTCACATTCCATCCAGGCATCCATTGCTCCTGACCTGCAGGCAAACCCCGTCCTCCCCACAGCCAGCCTCTGCACAGCTGCATCGCAGATCTGAAACATACCAACGTGCTTTTTCCACTGACTCATTCTCGGCTTTTCCTTCCTTTCTTTTTTTTTTTTTTTTTTTAAAGGCACAACCTCAGTCTTGCACCCAGCAGAAGCCACGCGCCTGCTCATCGCCCCACCCAGGCGCAGGCCCCAAGAACAGCCAGCCTCCTCCCTCCCTCCCTCCCTCCTTCCCAAAAGCTGACAGCCCAGGGCACACTGCAAAGGAAGCTGCCGAACTTGAATACGGCTTTACCCACTTTTGCTTCGCCCACCCTCCTGGCCTCAGCTGGACCCTCCCTGCTGCTCACCCCCTTGCTGCTGGGAAAGCCCCACTCCTGGAGCCTGAGCAAAACCAGCTAGACAAAGTTCCAGAAGGATTTCAACGGCTTTCCAAGTAAGTGATGGCATTTTTTCACTTGCTTTCAGAGATGTCTCAGGAAAAGACTAACACTGCCTGCTAAAAAAGTCTTTTGCTGAAAGCATCTTTTCCCCTCCCATCCTACCCACCCATCTCTCCCATCATAACCCAGCAGCAAAGCGAGGGTAACCCCTTGGCCAACATAGCATGCTCCTTGCCAGCTCCTCTTCTTTTTGCTTTGCCTGGTACCAGGATCTGGAAGAGAGGTTGCAAAGCCTTGCTTATCAGCTTGTTCTAATAAAAGGGATTTGAACACCATGCACCAGGGCAAGTTTGGAGCTTTAGTGTTCTTGCTTGCATCACAAAGCACAGCAGCCAGAACTGCAGGCCGGAGCTGCTGTCACGTGGCTGCGGGTTTTGGCTTTAAGGAGGGAGTTTTGTATATGGAAACCTGGGAAGATGCAGGAAGGTATTAAAGGCACTGGGTGCTTCTGTTAGAGGAGGATGAACTATGGCGTCTTTCTCTCACCTGCACAAACGCCCCCATAGCCTTTTCCTTGTAGCTGGGGCTAGCACAGGGATAGCTCACCCTGGATTTTGGGACAGTTGTGCTGGGGTGTCAGGTCTCCCCCAGAACTTCTGTACAATGATACGCATGCTGCCAGTGCTGCACAAACCACCAGGGACTGTTAGTCGGCTGTCCAGGTCTTTCATGCCTCCAGCAAACCCCAAGGTTTGCAGGCTTTGTCAGACTTGAAGCTTCCTGAAATTAAACCACACAGGGGTGCAGAGCAGATGCAAAGGAAACAAAGAAATCAGCTAAGCAACACTTGCAAAGGGGACAGCAAGGCAACTGTGGGAGAGAATCATCCTACCACATCCCTTGCTAGCAGGAACTTCTATGTAATTTCAGGCCCAGCTCTATCAATATTCAGTGTTTGTACATTGGATCACAATAAGCTTTGCTTTCCCAGAAAGTAGTATCTCTTGCTGGCACCAGCAGCCCCTTGCCCAGTTGCAGAGACCCCTGATGGAGAAACAGGACTGCATTAGCACGGGGCCAGCTGCCACTATGTGCAGTAAAAGGGAAGACACATGCAGAGCAGCAGGACACCATCCTCTAGTAGGTCCTCAGCCACTAGCTGCTGCTTTCCCATTAATGTTTCTCCAACCTGATCCTCCCATGAAGCATCTCCCTGTACCCAAACCTACCAGGCAAACTTGCAGCACCCATGGGACTCATTTCCTGCTGTCTCCCTGGCATACTTCAGGCTTTTACTAAATATTAACTCATCAGGTCTAAGGAGGGAGGGCTAGAGTGTGAGTCATTGGCAGGGCTGGGGACGCATCCATGCCCCACTGCTCTGGTCCAGTTTCCCCAGTAACACAGCGTCCTCCTTCATTACAGGCCTGGGAGATCAATAAGTGACCAGCGGCATCACCAGTGGTCATCGCTTCTGTGGGATGTGACTAAAGCCAAACGAAAGACTATGAACGTGCTAATGACAAGGGTAGAAATGATCGTCCCCTTGGTAATCTTTGCTACAGAAATGCTCTTGGACAGTTTATTGAAAAACTGAGGAGCCTGAGGTTTCCTTCGTTGCTTAAGCTGAATTCCTCCTCAATCCTATCAGTGACTGCAGTGAAGGTGTTGTGCTCCCTTTCATTTCAGTCATCCCAAGGCCATTTCACTCCCTCATCGTGTCCCTCAGTGCTGGGACGTGGGCCAACACAGCCCCCCACTGCAGTAGGCACCTCCTCTCATTCTCCATCTCCAGGATAAGATGGCTGCCCTTATTGCTGAAAACTTCCGCTTCCTCTCCTTGTTCTTTAAGAGCAAAGACGTGATGATCTTTAATGGCCTGGTGGCTCTGGGCACAGTGGGCAGCGAGGAGCTCTTCTCAGTTGTTGCCTTCCACTGCCCCTGCTCTCCAGCCCGCAACTACATCTATGGGCTGGCTGCCATCGGTGTCCCAGCCCTGGCACTATTCCTTATCGGCGTCATCTTGAACAACCACACCTGGAACGTAGTGGCTGAGTGCCACAAGCGTGGCACCAAGAACTTCTCCACTGCCGCCACCTTCCTCCTCTTTGGTTCCATCATGGGCCGGGCAGCCGTGGCACCCGTCACCTGGTCAGTCATCTCCTTGCTGCGTGGGGAGGCTTACATCTGTGCCCTCAGCGAGTTTGTCAGGCCATCCACCCTGGATAAGTTCCCATCTGAGTTTGGGGCTGAGGTGCTGGCGAGATTCCCCTGCAAAGATGTGCCAGCAAACCTCACCAAGTTCCGGGATGAGGTGACACGGAGGCTGAGATATGAATCCCAGGTAGGCAAGTTGGGAGCAGAGCTGCACGGAGCAGGTAAGAACATTTTGACATGCCCTAACGCAAACTCTCTCTCTCAGCTCTTTGGCTGGCTGCTCATTGGAATCGTCGCCGTCCTGGTTTTCCTCACCAAGTGCCTGAAGCACTGCTGCTCACCGCTGAGCTACCGGCAGGAGGCCTATTGGGCCCAATACCGCTCCAACGAGGACAAGCTTTTCCGCCGCACGGCTGAAGTCCACTCCAGGATCCTGGCAGCAAAGAACGTGAAGCAATTCTTTGGATTTGTGGCACTTGATAAGGAGGAGAAGGAGCTGGTGCAGGAGTTCCCAGTGGAGGGCGTGCAGCCAAGCCCCCAGTGGAACGCCATCACGGGTGTCTACATCTACCGGGAGAACAAGGGCTTCCCCCTCTATAGCCGACTCCACAAATGGGCAAAAGGGGTGGAAGGGAATGGGCCAACCCCAGAGGGCCATGAAATGCTCTTCTTGGCTTCCTAAGACAGATGGATGTTGGAAGCAGTTCCCCAGTCTGCCTGGCAGGCCTATCAGTATTGGTGTGCAGCTCATGGATTCGCTGGGAATATTCCTGCCAACAGGATTACTACTCTCAGCAGGTAAAAAGGAATCAACAGCCTCCAGGTAGAGGCTGATAAGCAATGCACTGAGCTGAGGAACCCCTCCCTTGGAGACAACCATCTTGCTGGTGCTCCCAGAGGGATAAGGGGAGCACAGCAGATGCACACCTTACCTTCAGGCTGCTGGTGAGCCCTGCTGTCTTAAACACCATCAGAAACCTCAGGGAGGAAGAGCTGGGAACATTTCTAGCTCTGACTCTTGCAGTCCCATCTGTCTCCCCTGTGGCAGGGCTAGCCCTAGCCATCCTACACACCCACCTTTTTATCAACACCAGTATCTTCTTATGCAGTTCTGCAGTGCCAGTTACACTGACAGGTCCTGGAGTACTTTACAGACTTCAGAGGGAAAGAGAAGCAGTGAGCACATTCCTGTAGCAACAAGGATTCAATAGCATCTGAGAAGGAGTGGGTCAATACTACATCAGCACACCAAATAACTGAGAGACTAAGGCAGGAGGAATCACCAATATTGTAGGCATTCGGAAAGACACTCTGTAATTACCAAGTTGAAATTTGGGTAGGACACTAAACTCCCTTTGTTCTTATTGAAGCGTCTGGCAACCTCTAATGAGCCCAAATGGTCACAGCCATGAGAATATAAACCTGGAAGGTGACACCATCAGCAGAATAGTTTTCAGGCGAGGTGGCATAGTGGAGGGCTCAAAGGGAGCATAGCATCCACGGTGAACCACAGCACCATGTGCAGCTCATTGCATTACTCATCCACCATTGGATGAGAGTCCTGCTTGTTTGGTTGACAGGTTGGAACAAAACCCCAGACAGAATTACATACATATAATTATGTTATATACATACACACACTATATGTATAAAATAGTATTTTGCTGTACTAACGGAGCATATTTCTTCCAGGGAAAGGGGCAAAAAACTTGCCAGCCAAAAGACCACGTTACATGCACTCACCTGCTCTATTGCTTCAGCAGCACAAGAGACTGTGGGAATGGGATGAGGGGAGCAGCCCTCTACCACTGAACTAAATTCTTACCACTGCTTTAAACAGTCCCTGCAGCAAACTGGCTATTTTAGGGACAGCTGTACTGAGAGAGCAAGACCAGAGAGATGTTATAGTACTGCAATTGCTGACACTGTGCTGACTGTTTTGGCACTGTGCCCCTTTCTACCTGAGAGTCAGACCTATATACCTATATAGGCAGGACAATGGAGTTTGGTTTTCCTACTTGTACAGTTCCTCTACAGACACAATTTCCATTTACACTGTGCCTTTTACCAAAAAGCCTTGAATTGTTAAAAAAAAAAAAAAAAAAAAAAAAAGCTCACTGAACTCAGAGAGGCTTCAACACAAGAAGATTTGAAATAAACTATTAAATGAGTTCTTTTTCATTGCCTTTTGACATTTTTAAGGGAGTCATAGAAGGCATGTTTTAATATTCCTTTTGAAGCCAAGAACTGGGAACTTTTCTTTCTATTAAATGTTTACATCCTCTTTTGTTCAGCTAACACCACGATACTATGTTTTGAAGTATCATATATTAAACTGGTGGAGGAGGTATCCCAGGACACATGATCAGCTCTGCCATAATTTGCCTTTCATCTGTGGGAAGGCTCAGCTACCAACTGACCTAATCTTCAGGAATGATCATATGCAAGTTAAAAAAAAAAAAAGAAAGAAACTGCATTCACTTGAGATAAAAAGTTAAATTTGCATTTCTCCTCACAGGCCCTGAGGGGTGAACACGCATATGCGCTTGCCACCCCCGCATGCAAGTCAGCAGATGCAAGGTAACTTGCTGAAACAGTAGCATGAGCATATTCCTCTTACTTCCCTTTGAGACAGCCCTAATTCCTTTGAACCACCTCCACTTCCTTCTCCTCCTCTCCCCTCCTTTTGAAGGAGAACAGCAAGACACAATGCTTGCTAAAGGATTTGTTTATCCTAAGAATACAACATGTGTACAGCCCGGCCTTTGCTTTGTTTAGCTTCTCTCTTCTGCATTAATTCCAGCTGCTTTCCATGCCTTGCAATGGGCCAGAGACTTGTGCAGCTTGCCCATTTTTTCACCATCTTCCTGGAGAGGCAGATTTGGGCCAGCAGCTAACAGCAAGGAGCAGAGCAAACTACTGCTGTTGGAAATACTGCACTGTAGTATTTCTCTAATACGTAGCAAATCTCAAACAATGCAATTGTGAGGATTTTTTTTCCTGTTTTTCTTCCCTTCTTCCAGAGCCTTGAGCATGGTCCGCGATAACGCAGCTCTGGGCTTCTGTCCCTCATAGCCCAACAGTGCCCTTATGAATCATAGAATCAGTTGAGCTGGAAGTGGTCCTTAATGGTCATCTAGTTCAACTCCCCTGCAATTAATAGGGTTATCTATAACCCTGCCAAGGTAGTCACTCACCCTTCCCCATTGAGGGTGAGGTGAAGTCAGCAGAAGGAAGAAAGTACCGAAGGAGGAAAGGAATCAGGATGAGAGCTACCAATGTGTGGGAAATGCTGGGAGCAAAGCATTTGGGGAAGAAGTAGACTTGATTAACTTCTGCAAAAATACTCAAAGCAGGACATTAAGCCACACAGCTTTCCAACTCAGCGTAAGCAAGGAAAATACCAAAAGGGAAGCCAAGGCGCCTGAATTCTTGGCATGCTGGATCATGAAGGCTGAGCTCACGTGCTCTGTGCTCCTCCTGCAGAGGCTGAAAGCAATGCTGCCACAGAGCAGCCTACAGGCTGTCAGTTAGGGCACGCTTTCCAGCAGCAAGCCACACTTAAACCAGGCTCCAGTACACAGAGTTATACACAGCCCTTTCATTTTCCCTGCTGACTACTGTATAGACTATAATAGCCACTGTAATCATAAAGAAATAATACTTCAAAGGGATCTTGGTTTCAATTCAGACACTTATTTACACACTCTATTACGTAACTAATTCATTTGGGGGAAAAAATAAAAGGAAAACCACCATTACTGCAGTTGCACTGTTTAAAAAAAAAAAAAAAAAAAGAATAAAGAATAGCAGCAGCTGCTACTGGATGTTGCAAGAAAGTATCGTCCTTTTCTAGAAGAGCATTAAGCATGAATCCAGCACCCTGCAGCCCCTGGGGATAAGCAGTAGAACAACTTGTTTTTAGATCCCATTGGATTTGGGAATTAACTGAACGCTTAACTAGTCAGCCTTGCCCATGCTGGGCATTCAGAGAGGCAAAAGGGCCGAGTCCTGCAGAACTCTGGTTTCAAGTTCAGAGCACCTACAATGAATGAGATTATTCAAGTTTATTGTTTCAAACTTGGACAACCACTTGCCAGTGTCCACACTGGATAATCACCTCTTTGCATCCCCTGCTTTTTCCCTCACTTTCAGTTCTCTGTCTATAAAAAACCCATCACATCATCCACACCTTATTGGAGAAATACAAGACCAAGGATAAGACACCAACACCAGTGACAGCGTATCAAAGATAGTTGGCTTTTTCTATACAGAAGGTTAGCTGGGGATTTTTTTTTCTCCAGCACAGAAAAAACACTCTTTTCAACTTCAATGAAGTATCTTAAAAGATGCCCAGTACTGAAAATCACTGACTTTTTCCTGTCATCAGACACTGGCAATTTGTTACAGGATGGTTGTTATCGTGGGATCCTTTGTAATTGGACATTGTATGCTTTGAAAGTACAAGTTTTTTCAGCCTAAAAGGCCAAGAACATCCTGGGATATATTAGGAAAGACCTTATCTGAAGGCTAAATGAGGTAATTCTTCACTTCCAGTCTGCCATGGTGAGTCATCTGGGGTGATGTGTCCAGTGCTGGGTTCCCCGATACAGAGAAGCAGTCACTGGGCTTACCAGAGTGAATCCTCCAAAGGAACAGGAAGATGGCAACAGGACTAGAGAGCATACATCATACAAACAGAGGCTGAGAGCTGGAGCCTTCAGCCTGAAGAAGAAAAGGTTCAAGCCAGATCTTATCCATGTGTGTAAATACTTGTCAGGAGAGCATAAAAAAAAAAAAAAGTAGAACCAGACTATTTTTAGTGGTGCTCTGGGACAGTACAAGAGAAAATGGGCACATATTGAAATGCAAGATATTCTATTTAAATGTAAGAAAATACCCTCATTTTACTTTTTCCTTTTTTTTTAATCTGTGAACACAGTCAAACACCAGAACAGGTTGCCAGAGAGTCTGTGGCATCTCCATCCTTGGAACTGGATGCAGCCCCAGGCAACCTACTCTAGCTGACCCTGCTTTGAGCAAGGGTTTGAACCAGATAATTTCCAGCAGTCACTCCCAACCTCATCCACACCACAATTCCACATTGCTCTGTCAATTGTTAGAAGCATGAAAGAACTTCAGGTTAATCAAGGTATCAAAAAAAGTGAAAGGCAAGATTCTTCTCTGCTATCTTGCCGGAGAAAGAAATCATTAGCACGCTGTACCTAAACGCAGTGAACCACAACAGCACCATTTCCATAGGAATGCAGACCAGGTAGGAGCGATGTTTATATTGATTATAAAACAATCTGTACATAAAACTGTCTTTAGTCATCAACAGACAAAGATTATTTGTAACATTCAGACAAAGCTGCAAACATCTGTAAGCTTTAGATTCTTTGATCTTTCTACTTCAGTTTGGTCATAAGACCAACACTCTTCAGAAATTCACTGTCCATGGAAACTCCACACCTCTCAGTTCCCACTTTGCAATGGAGAGTGGAATCTCTCTGCTTTTACTTGTGCTGTGTTTAGGTGTCAGCGAGGGAACTCTTGGCCTCTACATACTCCAGTGCTGCTGTCTTAACAGCCATGACAGTTTCTGTTGTACCATATTTCTTTTCATAATCCAGGTAGCGCTTAAAGAAGAATTTCATCTTCTTTGGTGCTAAGTTCAGGTGTATTACCCTCTCAAAGATGTCCCTGCAAGAAACCGAAGTGATTCAGATTGCTATGTTGGTGACAGCACTCAACACAAGCCCTGTACATTGAGCAAAGCACAGAAACTCATAGGAGACACAACCTAAATGCCTCAAGAAAGAGGTTCATGAGAACTGGTGATAGCCTCAAAACGGAAGCCTTCTTCATTAGACAGTTTACACAAAGATCCAGCCATTGTATTTGACCCGACGTTCATGAAATGCCTGCAGCTGGATCTACAGTGTGAGAAGCTGAACTCCCTTTTGTCATCTCAGCAAAAAAGAGACCATTCTCCTTAGTTTCACGCTACAAGAGATAAAAGGGCTGAACCTTACTGAAAGCCCTCTAGTTTTTGCTCTGCAGGTCACTCCTTACTATTAATTACTAACTGCCATGCAGATCTCCTTGGAGTCTTCCCAGACTTGGGGAGGACAAGCTTTTGCTGTTTTCTTTCCCTATGAGATACAGATTTTCCTTTGCTCTGGGAGGCCCTCGGCAGTACCACTTGTGCTCTCTTCAGGTGTTTCCCTAAGCACTATCCTGTCCTTTTTCCCAGCCACCTACAGCACAACTCACCGTACTTCCTTCTGGCTGCCTTGTTTGATCATGATGTCCATGTAGATGGACCAGATATCTGTTCGCTTTGGGTAGCTGTTGAGGGTGCTCTCAAAAAGGGCCTTGGCATGTTCTGGGTCACCAAAACGGAACTCCAACTGTGCAAACCTTGAAATGACATCCACATCTGGAACAAGTAATGACATGTTAGGGGATCACAGCAGCCCTCTTTCCTATGAAGGGACACAAATTGAGTTATAATTACACAGAAATGGCAAGCACAGAGACAGCATCATCTCTGTTCAGAGATGAGTGTAAAGTGATTCTGGTCCAAGGTGGAGGGTCAGAGTGAAGGAGCTGCAATTTAACTTTTGTTTGTTTTACAACAGGCTTTACTGTTGTTATCCAGGCTGAAATTTCCCCTCCCCTTACAGTCAAGGAAAGCAGATTCAACACTGTCTGGCTGCAGTTTTCACTTATTATAATCACTGCCACATGCAGACACATGCAGAAGGCAGCCCATCTACTGGAGACCTATAAATGCATAGTGCAAGTGATGATTGGCAATGAGTGCTTACGTTCTTTGGTGGGCAGAGCCTTGAGAGCACGCTCCAAAAGCCTGTGTGTAGCTTCAGTCTGGCCTTGCTTCAAGAGGAAAGAGGCATACTTCAGCCACACTGATTTTTCCTGACGGAAACGCCTCAGCATTGTGTGATACAATTCTTCTGCTTGCTGGAATGGCAAAGTTGGGTTAGATCACACGGATTCATAACAGAGCCCTATAGCTCATTAAACCCTCGCTCATGAAACTCTTGTTCCTGGCCCAGGTGCCTCTGAACATTTGTGAGAAGTAAGTACCAATAGTTCTTCATCTGATACCAACAACAACTATTAATCCCAGCTAGGAACAGGACAGGG